TTTACTCATGTACGAATTAATTGCTTTTGTCACTACCACTACTACTACTACTACTACCACTAGTGAACATCGAAATGGTACCTCACTAGTATTCACCTCACTCTGAGCCTTTATATACCCTCTGTGTCCATGTATTGTTTGTAATGGCTTGATAAAGCTCCTGGAGAGCGAAACGTTGCCACAATAAATGTCACATTAGTTGCACTTGTGTCCTTTTACTTTACATATTGTCGGTAATTCTACCAACTTTATTACATATGTAGCATCTTGCCTAGAAGGGGAGTAGGAAATGAATGGCTGTCTAGGGCAATTGGTGTAAATTGCTGGCTAGACAGATACTGCAAGGAACTTGCAATCCCATTCATTGACAACTGGAACAACTTTTATGGCAAACATGATATGTATGCAAGGGATGGGGTACATCTCTCTGGGGCTGGGGTGGTAGCACTTGCAGACTCGATTGAGAAGGCCATTGGTGAAATGCCTATGATTTTAAACTGATAGAAGATAGAGGTATGGGTGTGTGTGGGAAACAAGCAGGTTGCAACACTAGGGTTGGAAACAGTAAATGTATAAAAGGCATTCAGTATGAAGTTAAAAATAAAGACAATAGATCAGGTCAGCAAACAAAGGGAGACAGCAGAGGGCAGCAAGGGACTAGCTCCCTTAAGGTTTACTATACTAATAGCAGGAGTGTAAGAAATAAGATAGATGAGCTAAGATTAATTGCAAGTGCAGGAAAAATAGATATTATTGCTATAACAGAGACCTGGCTCAATCTGAAAGATAGAGAGATGCCCTCTGAATGTCACGTACAAGGCTATAAATTATTCCACACTGACAGGGTCAACAGGAAAGGTGGTGGAGTAGCAATGCATGTCAGAGACAATTTAAATTGTTGTGTTAGACAAGATATAAAATTAGAAGCGTCAGCCACTGAATCTGTTTGGTTACAGCTTCTCGAGGGCCGAGAAAAACTAATTTTGGGTGTGATTTACAGGGCTCCAAATCTTGATAGGGAGTGCAGTAAACTTGACTTGGTTCTTGCCAGTAGGGAAAAACTAATTAATAATCTTGAGGTTAATGATGAGCTTGGGGAAAGTGATCACAATTCACTAAGTTTTAATATATCATGGAATTCTCCTAATAATGGCAATCAAGTCTCCGTCCCTGACTTTCGCTTGGCTGATTTCATAGGACTGAAAAATGACTTAGGTGGGCTGAACTGGAATGACCTGACTAAGAGTCAGGTAGGTGGTGATGGTTGCCGATATGACGCTTTCCAGGGCATAGTTCTAGCTGCTCAGTCAAATTATGTTCCAAATAGGGAAATCAGATCAAACAAATATGATCCTAAATGGATGAACAATAGATTAAAATATCTAACTGGTCAAAAGAGAGGCATATGTAGGCAAATCAAAAGAGGAGAGGGGCAATTAAGAAATCGATATATCCAGTTAAAGAGAGAAATAAAAAGGGAATTAGAAAAGCAAAAAGAGATTATGAGGTTAAAGTTGCAAGAGAATCGAAGACTAACCCAAAAGGATTCTTTCAGGTATACAGAAGTAAGATCAGGGACAAGATAGGCCCACTCAAAAGTTCCTCAGGTCAGCTCAATGACAGTGATAAGGAAATGTGTAGAATTTTTAACACATACTTCCTCTCAGTTTTTATACAGGAGGATACCAGCGATATTCCAGTAATGATAAATTATTTAGAACAGGACGATAATAAACTGTGCACGATTAGGATCACAAGTGACATGGCCCATAGGCAAATAGATAAATTAAAACCTAACAAATCCCCAGGCCCTGATGAACTGTATGCAAGGGTTCTAAAGGAATGTAAAGAGGAGCTTAGCAAACCTTTGACTAATCTTTTCAACATATCACTACAAACTGGCATGGTGCCAGATAAGTGGAAAATGGCAAATGTGATACCTATTTTCAAAGCAGGTGACAGGTCCTTAGCCTAACCTCCATAGTGGGAAAATTTATGGAATCAATAATTGCCGAGACAGTTCGTAGCCACCTTGAAAAGCATAAATTAATCAACGAATCTCAGCATGGTTTTACAAAGGGGCGTTCCTGCCTTACGAATTTATTAACTTTTTTCACTAAGGTATTTGAGGAGGTAGATCATGGTAATGAATATGATATTGTGTATATGGACTTCAGAAAGGCTTTTGACAGGGTCCCACATCAGAGACTATTGAGGAAAATTAAGGCACATGGAATAGGAGGAGAAATTTTTTCCTGGATAGAGGCATGGTTGACAAATAGGTAGCAGAGAGTTTGCATAAATGGGGAGAAATCAGAGTGGGGAAGCGTCACGAGCGGTGTTCCACAGGGGTCAGTGTTGGGCCCCCTGCTGTTCACAATCTACATAAACGACATAGATGAGGGCATAAAGAGCGACATCGGCAAGTTTGCCGATGACACCAAAATAGGCCGTCGAATTCATTCTGACGAGGACATTCGAGCACTCCAGGAAGATTTGAATAGACTGATGCAGTGGTCGGAGAAGTGGCAGATGCAGTTTAATATAGACAAATGCAAAGTTCTAAATGTTGGACAGGACAATAACCATGCCACATATAAACTAAATAATGTAGATCTTAATATTACGGATTGCGAAAAAGATTTAGGAGTTCTGGTTAGCAGTAATCTGAAACCAAGACAACAGTACATAAGTGTTCGCAATAAAGCTAATAGAATCCTTGGCTTCATATCAAGAAGCATAAATAATAGGAGTCCTCAGGTTGTTCTTCAACTCTATACATCCTTGGTTAGGCCTCATTTAGATTATGCTGCACAGTTTTGGTCACCGTATTACAGGATGGATATAAATTCTCTGGAAAATGTACAAAGGAGGATGACAAAGTTGATCCCATGTATCAGAAACCTTCCCTATGAGGATAGACTAAGGGCCCTGAATCTTCACTCTCTAGAAAGACGTAGAATTAGGGGGGATATGATTGAGGTGTATAAATGGAAGACGGGAATAAATAAAGGGGATGTAAATAGTGTGCTGAAAATATCTAGCCTAGACAGGACTCGCAGCAATGGTTTTAAGTTGGAAAAATTCAGATTCAGGAAGGATATAGGAAAGTACTGGTTTGGTAATAGAGTTGTAGATGAGTGGAACAAACTCCCGAGTACAGTTATAGAGGCCAGAACGTTGTGTAGCTTTAAAAATAGGTTGGATAAATACATGAGTGGATGTGGGTGGGTGTGAGTTGGACCTGATAGCTTGTGCTACCAGGTCGGTTGCCGTGTTCCTCCCTTAAGTCAATGTGACCTGACCTGACTAGGTTGGGTGCATTGGCTTAAGCCGGTAGGAGACTTGGACCTGCCTCGCATGGGCCAGTAGGCCTTCTTCAGTGTTCCTTCGTTCTTATGTTCTTATGTTCTTATGTATTAATAAAGGGGATATTAACAAGGTCTTGAGGATATCTCTCCAAGAGAGAACCCGCAGTAATGGATTTAAATTAGATAAGTTTAGATTTAGAAAGGACATAGGAAAGTATTGGTTTGGAAATAGGGTAGTTGATGAGTGGAACAGTCTACCTAGTTGGGTTATTGAGGCTAGGACTTTGGGTAGTTTCAAATTTAGGTTGGATAAGTACATGAGTGGGAGGGGTTGGATTTGAGTGGGACTTGCACATCAGAGCTTGTGTACGAATGGTATATAATACCGACAAGATGAGATTAAGACACATGTGCAACATCTGGGTATCTTTATTGTAGACTATGGTGCTCTTCGCACCTACTCCTAGGTTGAGGGACTGATTACCTCATCTTCTGTACATAGTTCTACTGTCTTCAAGTTATGTCCTAGAATTTGTATTGATAAAGCCACTGGATGGCGAAACGTCTACAATAAAGATACCCAGATGTTGCACCAAGTGTCAAAATCTTCACATCGCGCTTGTTTCTTGGTGGCATTGCAAATTTGGTTGGTCAAATTGAATGTTAGTGGATGAATTGTAAAAAGGACCTGCCTAGTAATGGGTCAACAGGTCTGCTGCAGAGTTCCCTCCTTTCTTATGTTCATATGTTCTTATTTCATAAGAAACGACTATATTGTCACAAGAAGTCAATAACATTCTCCTCTTAGGTTCTTGCGTGACTAGTTCAGCTGATTCATGCGATGAAAAACATACTAGCTAAGTTAGGCTACCTCAGCAACCAATTTTTCATGTTTCAAAGTTCTTGGGCAAAATCTGCTTATTGTTTGTCCTGAAAGTATTTCCCTCTACCAGACACCGGATTCTCTTTAAGACCAAGATTTCCTCACAACTTTTTAAACATTCTGTGGTAGAACTGGTCTACGGTTAATGACGTTGACCATTTTTGTAGCATCATCAAAAGCTTTTGCAGTACGTGTAAAATTACGAATGTAATGACTTAATAATGCATTTACAAATGATTAGCTTATTTATCACCATTTCTTCGGAACCCCTAGCGACCTCTCGAGGAACCCTAGGGTTCCAGGGAATCCCGGTTGAAAAACGGTGCTTTAGTGAATGGTTGGACTGGGGTACGGGAGGCTGACGAAGTTAGGGAGATGAAGAGAAGTTCTAGTTGTTAATGGTTGGCCGGTGTGGTCCCGTCCCGGGTCTTATGAGGTGACCTGGCACTGACTTCCCTGGTGGGGGAGGGAAGGATCAGGGGAACAGTGGAGGTATTGGGTGAGAGGGACAGGGGGGAGGGGTAGGACGAGGAGAAAGAGGAACCTATAAATGGAGATGAAGCAGCGCCCAGCTGACACTGCCCTTCCACCCGCGAGTCCACACCCACCTAAGAAACCTTCCCCCTTCCACCAACACACACATGATCATATTTTCTAACCTGACTTACATTAACTACAAAACCCGAAATTTTTCCGACAGTTTGCTAGTAAGAGAGAGATAATCTAACCCGTATTACTAAATAGTTTATATATACATCAATGTGCATGTAGTAATTTAGAGTAATTTGAAGTTTATTCTTTCCCAGGTATATCAGTGTTTCAGTAACGCGAAATTGTATTTCATTCACAAATCACGAGATAAAGAAAACATTGATCTCAGCATAAACAAGTGCTGTTCCTTTACACAGAATAATTGTTCCTATCCTCGGCACGATAGAGAAAAGTAACTCGTAAAAATATGTGCTCAGAAATCTATAAATTATAGCTAAGTGAGTCATTTTTAAGATAAATACAGTTTTCCTTAAATCATCAGGAAACTCAAGTTCTGTATTTATAAATATTGTCCTAAAAATATGTGTTGGTAACAGACAGATGACAAGTGTTTGTGAGACAGAAAAACAGTGCGTAGAACAAGAACTTCCAGGATTACTGGTGTGAGGAGTTGACAGCTGTTTTGGGTGGACGGCGACCTGGTAGGACGTCATCCGTCATGGGTAGGACCTGTTGACCTTCTCAGGTCCCCCTTTACAACCTTCCACTGCATCAGGGTAAGTTGACCTTTCCTCTCATCAACATTAATCATCTGCTTTTCCTTTAATTGAAGGCATTCCCACGGTAGGAATATATCATAGTAATTGGCCTGGTAAGACGGTGTCCCGTGGTCTAGTAGGCAACGCTCTTGCTTCACACATGTCCGTGGTTTGATCCCCAGCAGGCGTGAAAATATCAGGCGTGTTTTCTTACACCTGTTGTCCCTGTTCACCTAGCAAGCAAGAAGGTACCTGAGTGTTAGTCGACTGGTGTGGGTCGCATTATGGGGGGACATGATTGAAGGACTCCAATGGAAATAAGACAGACAGTCCTCGACGACGAACTGCCTTTTTTGAGTTATCCTGGGAGGCAAGAACACACACACACACACACACACACACACACACACACACACACACACACACACACCACACACAAACACACACACTCCCACACCAGGGGAAATGGCCCCTTCCCCACTTACAAACTTTATGGATATCAACGTCTCCACAGTTTGCCGACAGCGGGGTGATTTAGAGCTGGCTGGTACCTTAACGACCGTCTGGGAAGCAAGAAGAAACCCAAATGGCTGTTAGCGGACCAATCAGGCTGTCGTACCCGTGGCTCCTCTAGTGGCTTTTCCATTGAAGGAAATCAAATACTTCACAGTCTCTCTGTTCCTATAATTGCTTAACGGCCCCGAAAGTTTGTTTAGATTTACTGTCTATCGATAACACATGAAGCATTACTACCGCAGTTTACCTTGGCACAAACTTTAAGAAAACTCTATTTCCTGTATTAGAGATTAAATAATACTCTGTGTATGTACACTAAGAGTGTGTATGTACTCTGTGTATGTACGCTAAGAGTGTGTATGTACTCTGTGTATGTACACTAAGAGTGTGTATGTACTCTGTGTATGTACGCTAAGAGTGTGTATGTACTCTGTGTATGTACACTAAGAGTGTGTATGTACTCTGTGTATGTACGCTTAGAGTGGGTATGTACTCTGTGTATGTACTAAGAGAGTGTATGTACTCTGTGTAGGTACACTAGAGTGTGTATGAACTCTGTTGTATGTACACTAAGAGTGTGTATGTACTCTGTGTATGTACATTAAGAGTGTATATGCACTCTGTGTATATACCCTAAGTAAATATACGGTACCCGAAGTCACTTTGGGTAATCACGGCCCCTGCGGCCCGGTCACAGACCAGGCCTTCTGGCCTGATCGAACAAGCTATTAGTGACCGCCACCTGCAGTCCAACATTTCCACCATAGCCAGGCAGATCAAGAACTGTTTCTTTTTTTAGGACTGTCGAGTTCCCTCTTGAAGACATCTAAGGGTGTGCTGTTAATCTTCCCTTATGCATGAAAGAAGAGTGTTGAAGAGTCGTGGTCTCCTAACACTTAGTGTAAATATCGCCCACCTTTTTTCATTGAAGGTATCCTGCGATGAGTGTATATACACTTAATGTATATACACTAAGAGTGTATATACAAGGAAGGAAAACAAAAAAACCGTTTAGCAAATGATTTAGACACAAAATTTATATTAATTAGAACCACACACACACACACACACACACACACACACAACACACTTATAATATATATATATATATATAAATATATATTATTTGTAGTAGGTTGGTAGACAGCACCCACCCTGAGAAAGTACTACCGTCTGCAGATGACTGTGAAACAAAAACCTGTATTTGTTTTGCAATGATGGTAGGTATTTGGTGGTTTCTTTTTACAGTCTCATAAACACGCTATAGATAACAGGGATTAATCTTTGCTTACCTTCTTACTTACACTATGGTCAACATTCACAGACACGCACATGATATAAAAATATACATACATCTAGGTTTTTCTCTTGTTCTTAATAGTCTTGTTCTTACTTATTTCTTCTATTGGTCCATGGGGAGTGGAAAAGAAATCTTTCCTCCGTAAGCCATGCGTGTGTCGTATGAGGCGACATAAAATGCGGGAGCAATGGGCTAGTAACCCCTTCTCCTGTATACAATTACTAAAAAAGAGTAGAGAAAAACTTTATAAAACTGGGTTGCTTAAATGTGCGTGGATGTAGTTGCGGATGACAAGAAACAGCTGATGCTGTTGTTTTGAATGAAAAGAAGTTGTTGGTGGTTCCTAGCCTAAGCGAAAACAAAGCTGAAGGGGGTGGAAGAGTTTCAGGGGGGGAAATAAATGGGATTAAATCTGGAGTATCTGGAGAGAGTTAGAGCAAAGGAAGGGTAGCAATGTATGTTAAATGCTAGTTATGGGAGGAGAAGAAAGAGAATATGAATGTGTAAATTCAAGAATTATTGGATTAAAGTAAAGGTAGGTGCGAGAGGCTGGGTCATATAAGCGTGTATGCACCTGGAGGAAGAGAGGGAAAGGAATGCAGAGGATGAGAGAGAGATTTTGGGAGATGTTAAGTGAATGTATAGGAGCCTTTGAAAACCAAGAGAGAGAGTAATTTTGGTAGGGGACTTGAATGTAAAGTAGGAGAAACTTTTAGAGAGGGTGTGTGGTAGGTAGTTTGGTGGGGTGCCAGGTGATTGTAAATGCTAATGGGAGCCCTTTGGATGAAGCTTTGTATAGGAAGGGGTTTAGGTTATAGCGTAATCTTATTTTAAGAAAAAAGAGGATAAAATAAGAATACACGATATGATGTGGGCGGAAATGACAGTTAGTTTGTTGGATTATGTATTGGTAGATAAAAGATGTTGAGTAGACTTCAGGATGTACATTGTTTATAGAGGGGCCGAAGATATATCAGATCACTTTCTAGTTGTAGGGGCTACACTGAGAGTAAAAGGTAGATGGGATTACAAGGAGCATAGAAGCATCGGGAAGAGAGAGGTGAAGGTTCTATAAACTTAAAGAGGAGGCAGTTAGGGTAAGATATAAACAGCTATTGGTGGATAGATGGGCTAATGAGAGCATAGGGCAATGGGGACGATAAGAGGTATGGGGTAGGTTTAAAAATGTAGTGTTGAGTGTTCAGCGAAGTTTGTGGTTTACAGGGAAAGTGGGTGCAGGAGGGAAGAGGAAGGGAGCGATTGGTGGATGATGATGTAAAAGAGAGTAGTAGGAGGAGAAAAAGTTAGCATATGAGAAGTTTTTACAAGTAGAAGTGATGCAAGAGAGGGATGAGTATATTGAGAAAATGAGAGAGGTTATTAAGGAGTGGTGAAGCAATGTAAAAAGAAGAGCAAATGAGAGGGTGGGTGAGAATTGGTTATCAATACTTTTGTTGAAAATAAGAAAAAGTTTTGGAGTGAGATTAAAAGTTTAAGAAAGCCTAGAGAACAAATGGATTTGTCAGTTAAAAATAGGAGAGGGAGTTATTAAATGAGGAGATTAGAGTGTATTGGGAAGATTGAAGGAATATTTGGAGAATTGTTAAATGTTGATGAAGATTTAAAAAGGTATCTCTAAAGCTGTGAGATTTCGTGTATAGGGCAAGGAGGAATAACATCTTGTAGGAGTGAGGAAGAGCCCCAGTGTGAGTTGTGGGGGAAGTTCGTGAGGCCAGTAGTTAAATGAAAGGGGGTAAGGAAAGCCGGGAATTGATGGGATAAAGATAGAAATGTTAAAAGCAGGTGGGATATAGTTTTGGAGTGTAAGTGGTTGGTGCAATTGTTTAATAAAGTATGGAGATGTGTAAGGTACCTAGGGATTGGCAGTGAGCACATGCATAGTTTTTGTATAAAGGCAAAGGGATGAAAGAGAGGGAAAAATTATAGGGGGATGGGATAAGTCTGTTGAGTGTACTGGTAAGTGTATGGTAGAGTTATAATTGAAAGAATTAAGAGTAAGACGGAGAATAGGATAGCAGATGAAACAGGAGGTTTTGGAACGGTAGAGGGTGTGTGGACCAGGTGTGTTTCCAGGGAAAACCATATACAATGGTGAACAGTATTTAGATTAAGGCTAAAGAGGTCTTGTGGCATTTATGGATTTGGAAAAAGGGCGTATTATGCAGGGTGGATAGGGGGCATTGTGGCAGATGTTGAAGTGTTATGGCTGTAGTGAGGTAGGTTCCTGAAAGCAGTGAAGAGTTTTAACGAGAGGTGCGGCTCAAGTTTAGCGTATTAGGAAAGAGGGAAATTTTTTCCAGTATATAAGTAGGACTTAGACAAGGAGTGGATGTCACCGTGGGGTTTAATATAATTTATAGTGGGGTTGTAAGAGGAAGTAAATGCGAGGGTCTTGGCAAGAGGCGTGGAGTTAAAAGATAAAGATTCACACACAAAGGGGGGTTTTAAAATGTTTGGAAAAACCCGGTTTTGGGGGGGATTAAAAGAAAGTTCAAAAGGGTGGGTTTTGGGGGGTTTTTGCGAAAAAAAATTTGGGAAAAAGGAAAAGGAAGGTTTGGGATAAAAAAGGGGGAAAGAAAAAATTGAATACAGAAAAAAATTTTTAGTGAAGTATTCGATATTTTTGGGGGGGCGTTCGCGGATGGGTTATGAAGATGAGGTGAATCATGAATTGAGAGGGAAAAAGAGTGAGTGGTCACTTGGAGTTGTGGAGACAAAGAATTTGTCCTTGGAGGAAAGGGGGAAATGTATGAGAGTATAGTTTTCCCAACCCCTTTATATGGGTGTGAAGCGTGGGTGATGATGTTGCAGCGAGGAGAAGGCTGGGGGAGTGGAGATGTCATGTTGGGGGGCAATGTGTGGTGTGAATAAAATGCAGGAATTTCGTGTTTGGAAGTTAGGAGGGGTGGGGGGTTACCAAAACTGTTGTCCAGGGGGGGGAAAGGGGTTTTGTTGAGGTGGTTCGGACATGTAGAGAGATGGAGCGAAACAGAATGATTAAAAGAGTGTATCAGTCTGTGGGGAAAGGAAAGGGCGGGGTAGGGGTGGGCCCCTGGAAGGGTTGGGGGAGGGGGAAAAGGGGTTTTGTGTGCGAGGGGTTGGATTCCAGCGGATGTTGAGGGTGTTTAAAGGGGTTTGAATGGAGAAAAATGGTTTTTAATATTGAGGCTGTTGGAGTGTG